CGTTTGAAACGAGCCTGATATTGCTATCAGAGGTATAGAAGAGTAACGATATTTTTCATGCATAAATTTTACTTCAAACTTTCTATTCTGGAGTAATAATAAAGTTTACGCGTACAATACTCTTTTTTTCTTACTGTAAAATTATTGTGAAATTAGTTCTCAATTAAGTTCTTTTATTCGTCAATTAAAACATGCGTTTTCCATACATATATATACAGGGTAACTAACGGACCAATGATTAAGGACGGATTCTCTGGCCAATTTGGAGACGGTTTTTCCTTAGCAAAAATGTTGAGAAGTCAATAATTTTCGAGTTATAAGCGATTGAAAAAAATGGGTTTTTTGAAAACTAAACGTTGGAGTTAAAAGTCTAACATAATTACATTCTTCAGTTAATTTCAGGTAGAGTTTACTATAATAAAATTTTAATTTGAGGCTTAGTTATAAAGATACATAATGACAAATATTGGAAAGTTGTAAAAAATGATGACCTTTTTCGATATTTTTGCTGAGGAAAAATCGTTCCCAAATTGACCAAAGAATCCACTTGTAATCGTTGATCCGTTAGTTACCGGACACCCTGTATAAAAATTGTCATTAATAATTATTATTTATAATAATAAAGTTAATAAAATATTATACAAATATTCACACTTTTTATAAGATTTGTGATTGCGATACTTTTTCTATAATCTTGCTCTAATATATAGATAAATAACAGTATTGAGATTAAGGGACATTGAGAGGATTTAAACTATATCAATATTTATATTTAAACAAAAATAATATGTATATATTTTCGCGACCTTCTCTTTCTTCTATCTTCGTACTTTTACTTGAGATAATCTTCTTTTGTATTTAGTCGTACACTATCTGTAATACGAACATCATGTCACGCTTACCGAGAGCCTGGGACTGGGCATTGAAATATTTTACACAAATAGATGATAGAAAAGCAAAATGCAATATATGTGCTTCAATAATTGTTTCTTTTACTCTTATCAAACGCAATGCAAAGAGACATTTAAGTAACGACCACAACGAAGCGTATCGCAACATTACTTCAGAAAACTCAACAGAACGTTGGGAATCACTATTTAATACATTTCAAAACACTTATGAAGACAGTTATATGCAGTGCAAAATTTGTAAAGGAGATTATAATATTACCAAACAGGAAAACATCACAAAACATTTAGGAGGAGTGCACGATATAACAAAGGAAGATGACGACTTTATGGCTACACATCTTAATCAATATATCACATTTTGGCAGACACAACAATGCACAAAATGTAAAAGCATTTTTCAAGGCAGGCGTCTTCCTGTTTTCAAACAGCATTTTAGCCAATGTCAGGGGAATATGATGAACCTTTAGATCTAACTTTACCGAAATAATAGAAAAAGCGGTAAATATTAAAGTTTATGTTTTTTTTCACATTACTTACATATGCGTTTACGTACAATGAATAAAATTGTGTATAATATTTAACTATTCAAATATGTAGCGTATGTATATCATAAATATAAATATTCAAGTTGGATGTGTAAAATGTGAACTGTACAAGTATTATAAGCATTAGAATCTCAGTTTTACTTAGTTAATACTATATTAAAATGATTACTTATTGTTAGCTAATTCTAAATTTAAATTTGCCTACTATTTATTAATTTTATATAGTTGGTAATTTATTATAATTCGTGATACACACGATTTGTAATAATTCGCAATTTTTCTAAGTTATGAATAAATACGAAGACTAAATAATGCAACAATTATTTTTGTTTTTGGATAATATTTGGGTGTCAAATTTTTGATAATATCGAATATTTAAGTTTTTGAAGAGACTTGAATAATAAATATGTTTCATTATTAACATAAGATTTGAATATAATTTTAAAATATTGATTAATCCAGTAATTGTTACTTTTTATTCTGTGCAGATCATTCAGTAATCCAGACACTTATAGTTTTAACAAAGATGGTGAAAATGTTACTACAGAAATCAGTTGCAGTAAAAAGCTGCAGTAAGAAACATTTTGAGCTTGATAATTTAAATAATTTCAAAGATGAAAAAGAAGCAAACGTATATCCCTGATGACGAATCGTCGATGACGATCTGTATTTGTCATTTTGATATGTAACTTTAAGTAAATTTACTGAAATTTTTATTATTATAATCATATTAAATTATTAATTATTTATATAATTATTAATTGTCATTAATAATTATTATTTGTTTGTTGTAATACCGAAAATAAAAGTTTTATAAATTGTATACATCAAATAATTTTATCAGATAACTATTATAACGTATATCTTATTTATTTTCACATTCAACTAATTTATTTCGCATTTTCCTTTATATCAACTTGATGATTTAAATTAATTAGTTTAACAAAATTTATGTTAATTAAATATGCTCTGAGAAATTGCTATTAATAATGTGTGTGCGCTTATTGTTTAATATTTGTAATTGTGTAACTCTTTATATAATCTTTCTCTAATCGATTGTAAATAAATAACCGAATCATTAATGTTAAAACATGCTAAGCAGATTTAGAATGTGTATCGATATTTTTATTTACAATAAATAAAGAATCATATGTATTTCTACGCATGGCACTTGCTACTTTCTATTAGAGTCAGTATCTAAGTATTAGAGTCAGCTTTACTTAGCCAATTATTATTAATAATTATATTATTATCAATTGATTGTAATATAGGTAATTAAAAATGAAATAGTCTCACAAATAAAATGATTTGATTTAGTATAATAATGTACGTCTCTTCAATTTATATTCCAACGTAAATAGATTAATATGTAGGTAACCAAATAGTTAAAATTCAAAGTTTTTGAGGAAATTTAGATTTTATATCAATATTTACATTTAAACAAAAATAATATGTATATATTTTCGCGACCTTCTCTTTCTTCTATCTTCGTACTTTTACTTGAGATAATCTTCTTTTGTATTTAGTCGTACACTATCTGTAATACGAACATCATGTCACACTTACCGAGAGCCTGGGACTGGGCATTGAAATATTTTACACAAATAGATGATAGAAAAGCAATATGCAATATATGTGCTTCAATAATTGTTTCTTTTACTCTTAGCAAACGCAATGCAAAGAGACATTTAAGTAACGACCACAACGAAAGGTATCGCAACATTACTTCAGAAAACTCAACAGAACGTTGGGAATCACTATTTAATACATTTCAAAACACTTATGGAGACAGTTATATGAAGTGCAAAATTTGTGAAGAAGATTATCGTATGACCAAACAGGAAAACATCACAAAACATTTAAAAGGAGTGCACGATATAACAAAGGAAGATCACGACTTTATGGCTACACATCTTAATCAATATATCACATTTTGGCAGACACAACAATGCACAAAATGTAAAAGCATTTTTCAAAACATGTGTCTTCCTGTTTTCAAACAGCATTTTAGCCAATGTCAGGGGAATATGATGAACCTTTAGATCTAACTTTACCGAAATAATAGAAAAAGCGGTAAATATTAAAGTTTATGTTTTTTTTTCACATTACTTACATATGCGTTTACGTACAATGAATAAAATTGTGTATAATATTTAACTATTCAAATATGTAGCGTATGTATATCATAAATATAAATATTCAAGTCGGATGTGTAAAATGTGAACTGTACAAGTATTATAAGCATTAGAATCTCAGTTTTACTTAGTTAATACTATATTAAAATGATTACTTATTGTTAGCTAATTCTAAATTTAAATTTGCCTACTATTTATTAATCTTATAGTCGGTAATTTATGATAATTCGTGATACACACAATTTGTAATAATTCGCAATTTTTCTAAGTTATGAATAAATACGAAGACTAAATAATGCAACAATTATTTTTGTTTTTGGATAATATTTGGGTGTCAAATTTTTGATAATATCGAATATTTAAGTTTTTGAAGAGACTTGAATAATAAATATGTTTCATTATTAACATAAGATTTGAATATAATTTTAAAATATTGATTAATCCAGTAATTGTTACTTTTTATTCTGTGCAGATCATTCAGTAATCCAGACACTTATAGTTTTAACAAAGATGGTGAAAATGTTACTACAGAAATCAGTTGCAGTAAAAAGCTGCAGTAAGAAACATTTTGAGCTTGATAATTTAAATAATTTCAAAGATGAAAAAGAAGCAAACGTATATCCCTGATGACGAATCGTCGATGACGATCTGTATTTGTCATTTTGATATGTAACTTTAAGTAAATTTACTGAAAATTTTTATTATTATAATCATATTAAATTATTAATTATTTATATAATTATTAATTGTCATTAATAATTATTATTTGTTTGTTGTAATACCGAAAATAAAAGTTTTATAAATTGTATACATCAAATAATTTTATCAGATAACTATTATAACGTATATCTTATTTATTTTCACATTCAACTAATTTATTTCGCATTTTCCTTTATATCAACTTGATGATTTAAATTAATTAGTTTAACAAAATTTATGTTAATTAAATATGCTCTGAGAAATTGCTATTAATAATGTGTGTGCGCTTATTGTTTAATATTTGTAATTGTGTAACTCTTTATATAATCTTTCTCTAATCGATTGTAAATAAATAACCGAATCATTAATGTTAAAACATGCTAAGCAGATTTAGAATGTGTATCGATATTTTTATTTACAATAAATAAAGAATCATATGTATTTCTACGCATGGCACTTGCTACTTTCTATTAGAGTCAGTATCTAAGTATTAGAGTCAGCTTTACTTAGCCAATTATTATTAATAATTATATTATTATCAATTGATTGTAATATAGGTAATTAAAAATGAAATAGTCTCACAAATAAAATGATTTGATTTAGTATAATAATGTACGTCTCTTCAATTTATATTCCAACGTAAATAGATTAATATGTAGGTAACCAAATAGTTAAAATTCAAAGTTTTTGAGGAAATTTAGATTTTATATCAATATTTACATTTAAACAAAAATAATATGTATATATTTTCGCGACCTTCTCTTTCTTCTATCTTCGTACTTTTACTTGAGATAATCTTCTTTTGTATTTAGTCGTACACTATCTGTAATACGAACATCATGTCACGCTTACCGAGAGCCTGGGACTGGGCATTGAAATATTTTACACAAATAGATGATAGAAAAGTAAAATGCAATATATGTGCTTCAATAATTGTTTCTTTTACTCTTATCAAACGCAATGCAAAGAGACATTTAAGTAACGACCACAACGAAAGGTATCGCAACATTACTTCAGAAAACTCAACAGAACGTTGGGAATCACTATTTAATACATTTCAAAACACTTATGGAGACAGTTATATGCAGTGCAAAATTTGTAAAGGAGATTATAGTATAACCAAACGGGAAAACATCACAAAACATTTAAAAGGAGTGCACGATATAACAAAGGAAGATCACGACTTTATGGCTACACATCTTAATCAATATATCACATTTTGGCAGACACAACAATGCACAAAATGTAAAAGCATTTTTCAAAACATGTGTCTTCCTGTTTTCAAACAGCATTTTAGCCAATGTCAGGGGAATATGATGAACCTTTAGATCTAACTTTACCGAAATAATAGAAAAAGCGGTAAATATTAAAGTTTATGTTTTTTTTCACATTACTTACATATGCGTTTACGTACAATGAATAAAATTGTGTATAATATTTAACTATTCAAATATGTAGCGTATGTATATCATAAATATAAATATTCAAGTCGGATGTGTAAAATGTGAACTGTACAAGTATTATAAGCATTAGAATCTCAGTTTTACTTAGTTAATACTATATTAAAATGATTACTTATTGTTAGCTAATTCTAAATTTAAATTTGCCTACTATTTATTAATCTTATAGTCGGTAATTTATGATAATTCGTGATACACACAATTTGTAATAATTCGCAATTTTTCTAAGTTATGAATAAATACGAAGACTAAATAATGCAACAATTATTTTTGTTTTTGGATAATATTTGGGTGTCAAATTTTTGATAATATCGAATATTTAAGTTTTTGAAGAGACTTGAATAATAAATATGTTTCATTATTAACATAAGATTTGAATATAATTTTAAAATATTGATTAATCCAGTAATTGTTACTTTTTATTCTGTGCAGATCATTCAGTAATCCAGACACTTATAGTTTTAACAAAGATGGTGAAAATGTTACTACAGAAATCAGTTGCAGTAAAAAGCTGCAGTAAGAAACATTTTGAGCTTGATAATTTAAATAATTTCAAAGATGAAAAAGAAGCAAACGTATATCCCTGATGACGAATCGTCGATGACGATCTGTATTTGTCATTTTGATATGTAACTTTAAGTAAATTTACTGAAAATTTTTATTATTATAATCATATTAAATTATTAATTATTTATATAATTATTAATTGTCATTAATAATTATTATTTGTTTGTTGTAATACCGAAAATAAAAGTTTTATAAATTGTATACATCAAATAATTTTATCAGATAACTATTATAACGTATATCTTATTTATTTTCACATTCAACTAATTTATTTCGCATTTTCCTTTATATCAACTTGATGATTTAAATTAATTAGTTTAACAAAATTTATGTTAATTAAATATGCTCTGAGAAATTGCTATTAATAATGTGTTTGCGCTTATTGTTTAATATTTGTAATTGTGTAACTCTTTATATAATCTTTCTCTAATCGATTGTAAATAAATAACCGAATCATTAATGTTAAAACATGCTAAGCAGATTTAGAATGTGTATCGATATTTTTATTTACAATAAATAAAGAATCATATGTATTTCTACGCATGGCACTTGCTACTTTCTATTAGAGTCAGTATCTAAGTATTAGAGTCAGCTTTACTTAGCCAATTATTATTAATAATTATATTATTATCAATTGATTGTAATATAGGTAATTAAAAATGAAATAGTCTCACAAATAAAATGATTTGATTTAGTATAATAATGTACGTCTCTTCAATTTATATTCCAACGTAAATAGATTAATATGTAGGTAACCAAATAGTTAAAATTCAAAGTTTTTGAGGAAATTTAGATTTTATATCAATATTTACATTTAAACAAAAATAATATGTATATATTTTCGCGACCTTCTCTTTCTTCTATCTTCGTACTTTTACTTGAGATAATCTTCTTTTGTATTTAGTCGTACACTATCTGTAATACGAACATCATGTCACACTTACCGAGAGCCTGGGACTGGGCATTGAAATATTTTACACAAATAGATGATAGAAAAGCAAAATGCAATATATGTGCTTCAATAATTGTTTCTTTTACTCTTAGCAAACGCAATGCAAAGAGACATTTAAGTAACGACCACAACGAAAGGTATCGCAACATTACTTCAGAAAACTCAACAGAACGTTGGGAATCACTATTTAATACATTTCAAAACACTTATGGAGACAGTTATATGAAGTGCAAAATTTGTGAAAAAGATTATCGTATGACCAAACAGGAAAACATCACAAAACATTTAAAAGGAGTGCACGATATAACAAAGGAAGATCACGACTTTATGGCTACACATCTTAATCAATATATCACATTTTGGCAGACACAACAATGCACAAAATGTAAAAGCATTTTTCAAAACATGTGTCTTCCTGTTTTCAAACAGCATTTTAGCCAATGTCAGGGGAATATGATGAACCTTTAGATCTAACTTTAACGAAATAATAGAAAAAGCAGTAAATATTAAAGTTTATGTTTTTTTTTCACATTACTTACATATGCGTTTACGTACAATGAATAAAATTGTGTATAATATTTAACTATTCAAATATGTAGCGTATGTATATCATAAATATAAATATTCAAGTCGGATGTGTAAAATGTGAACTGTACAAGTATTATAAGCATTAGAATCTCAGTTTTACTTAGTTAATACTATATTAAAATGATTACTTATTGTTAGCTAATTCTAAATTTAAATTTGCCTACTATTTATTAATCTTATAGTCGGTAATTTATGATAATTCGTGATACACACAATTTGTAATAATTCGCAATTTTTCTAAGTTATGAATAAATACGAAGACTAAATAATGCAACAATTATTTTTGTTTTTGGATAATATTTGGGTGTCAAATTTTTGATAATATCGAATATTTAAGTTTTTGAAGAGACTTGAATAATAAATATGTTTCATTATTAACATAAGATTTGAATATAATTTTAAAATATTGATTAATCCAGTAATTGTTACTTTTTATTCTGTGCAGATCATTCAGTAATCCAGACACTTATAGTTTTAACAAAGATGGTGAAAATGTTACTACAGAAATCAGTTGCAGTAAAAAGCTGCAGTAAGAAACATTTTGAGCTTGATAATTTAAATAATTTCAAAGATGAAAAAGAAGCAAACGTATATCCCTGATGACGAATCGTCGATGACGATCTGTATTTGTCATTTTGATATGTAACTTTAAGTAAATTTACTGAAAATTTTTATTATTATAATCATATTAAATTATTAATTATTTATATAATTATTAATTGTCATTAATAATTATTATTTGTTTGTTGTAATACCGAAAATAAAAGTTTTATAAATTGTATACATCAAATAATTTTATCAGATAACTATTATAACGTATATCTTATTTATTTTCACATTCAACTAATTTATTTCGCATTTTCCTTTATATCAACTTGATGATTTAAATTAATTAGTTTAACAAAATTTATGTTAATTAAATATGCTCTGAGAAATTGCTATTAATAATGTGTTTGCGCTTATTGTTTAATATTTGTAATTGTGTAACTCTTTATATAATCTTTCTCTAATCGATTGTAAATAAATAACCGAATCATTAATGTTAAAACATGCTAAGCAGATTTAGAATGTGTATCGATATTTTTATTTACAATAAATAAAGAATCATATGTATTTCTACGCATGGCACTTGCTACTTTCTATTAGAGTCAGTATCTAAGTATTAGAGTCAGCTTTACTTAGCCAATTATTATTAATAATTATATTATTATCAATTGATTGTAATATAGGTAATTAAAAATGAAATAGTCTCACAAATAAAATGATTTGATTTAGTATAATAATGTACGTCTCTTCAATTTATATTCCAACGTAAATAGATTAATATGTAGGTAACCAAATAGTTAAAATTCAAAGTTTTTGAGGAAATTTAGATTTTATATCAATATTTACATTTAAACAAAAATAATATGTATATATTTTCGCGACCTTCTCTTTCTTCTATCTTCGTACTTTTACTTGAGATAATCTTCTTTTGTATTTAGTCGTACACTATCTGTAATACGAACATCATGTCACACTCACCGAGAGCTTGGGACTGGGCATGGAAATATTTCATACAAAATTCTGAACGTGCAAAATGCATTATATGTACTAAAGACGTTGCTATCTTTAGTATTACAAAAAGCAGTGCAAAGAGACATTTAAGGGGGAGTACAACGAAGCGCATCGCAACATTACTTCAGAAAACTCAACAGAACGTTGGGTATCACTATTTGATACATTTCAAGACACTTATGAAGACAGTTATATGAAGTGCAAAATTTGTGGAGGAAATTATTGTATAAGCAAAACCGTTTTCGACATTTTCGCTGAGGAAAAATCGTTCCCAAATTGACCAAAGAATCCATTTGTAATCGTTGGTCCGTTAGTTACCGGACACCTATGTATATATATATATAGGAAACGCATGTTTTAATTGACGAATAAAAGAACTTAATTGAGAACTAATTTCACAATATATATATATACACGATACGATAAATTGACGAACTTTTCAAAGTTTTAATTAAAATATTCAATACAAGGCAACACGCAAATAGCTCGCTTTCAGACGAGGCGCTACCAAATGGCCACTACGTAATAAAGTAAAACGCAGCCGGATATATCGCTCGATTTTACGAGCAGTGTGTTTTGAGGAAGACAGAAACAGGCGCCATAATACACCAGGAATTTTACGAGGTCGACGGGATCGATAGGAGAAAATAAAAGGGAGGGTGAGAAATAAAAGGGTAAGAAAACCGCGCGATAAACGAGTGAAACGTTACGAGAGAGAAACAGTGGAGAGGGGGAGGAAAGGTATTTTAGGTAGTTTTACGCTTTTTCCGGTATTTATTGTTTCCGCCAACGCAGAGGCATGATTTAATTATCATAAAAGGAATTACGTTCCGTTTCCGAAGATACATTTGCGCCAGATGAAAAATCATTGATCGCGTCAATTTCGAACGTTCGCTGTATTATATTAATGGCTCGAGATTTTATTATTGTAACGTCAGACACACACACACACACATATAGTGTTTGCTGTTATCTAACAATAAATAAAATTATATAGATGATCAGAAACTTTGGCGTTATCTTATTTTTATATAGTAGATAATAAAAATATGTATTATATCTATATCTGCATCTTACAATTAGATGAAAAAAAGTATTATCTTTAGTAAATTATTTAGAAAGTTTTTAGATAATTTTGACTTAGAATAATAGCACATAAAAATACTTAAATAGTAGAACTTAAGCAGTAAGTGATAAAAATTTATAAATAAAAATATGAATACATATATTTTTATATCTTTTTTATAATTTACATTTTTTTGTAACTGTGTTTATATAAGGAGTCTTAAAAATTATTATCTAGAAAATTATCTAGATAAATCGTTATATAATTTTATCTTTTATCTAGATATATTTAAAACAAAATCATCTTCATCTTATCTAAAATGAATTTACATATTTTTATCTCATCTTTATCCAGCTAATTTTTAAAAATCATCTAAGCACAACACCGCGCACACACAAGTATCCATGCATATATGTACTCTTCTTGATTTAAATAGCGCAGACGCACATAATTCAGCGAGATATAATCTCGTGAAATTCTTACTTCTACCCTCTACGATATGATATCGTAATCAGAGCCGTATTTTGTTGTAATACTCTGATTTTTTCCACACCCTCTGAATTAAACGCATGCGAGACTTCTTGTCGCATGCTACCTTGTGGGATAACAATAAATGTTTTTTATTTCTTCGGTATTATATCCACTCACGTTTGTGATTCAGAGCACACATACGCACATGCATGTATGCACACACATGTGGCAATTTACTTAGCTGATTTACAAATGTGTTTTACTAATTGCCGCTTCGTGCTGCGTGACCGCAATATTTGCACGCACGTTGCAGGTACGTGCGTGTACTCACATAAGTTTGTTCGTAGAATAGTACGTGCTGAATTTATCTCGGAGAAATATATATATTTCCGTCATTAATTTATATAGTTGAGAAATATTTGAGGCAACTTTTATTTATATCCAGGCTTCTCCGATTTCTGAAATGTTATCTACTGAATTATGTCATTTTCTAATATAATCCAAGTGACATTTCATTTTCCCCTTTCCATCTTCTAAATTTTATTGAAGGTTTAAAAACATCTAATCAATCTGCTCATTAAACATTAATGACACAAAATTAAAATTAATGAACGTAATTTTTTGTACATCGTATGACACACACTTGACATTTTTTTCTTATTATATATACCAACATATTCCGTAATGATACTTTTAATTGATGTGACACAGATTAATGAAGTAGACGAGTAATTGAATGCCTTCTCTAAGGCTTCCGAAAAGTGCGACATATCGATCAGATCGCGTGTCGCAATATTTCCCGAGTACAACGATGTTTGCACGCTTCCAGCGGCATATCCGATGCAATCGCTTATAAATACATTCGCGACGTTATTAATCATACGGACCGACGGACGAGCGCTAATTGAATGGATCGTCGCCGTTTATTCGGTCCGCGTTAATCTAACGATAGCTAATACCAGTAATAACTAACAAACGTGCATTTGAATTTGTATTCGGGCGACCGCTATACGAGGATTAACTGTCCGCTGCAAACCCACCGAATCCCTTTAAAGCCGCCCTACGAAACACCAGGCTGTTACGTGTCGGACCGGTTAAAATAGAGACTGTCCGGCCTGGTCCGCGTACGTTCCACATCGTCGCGTACACGATCGATGACATTATGGCATTTTAATGAGCGTCGCGTGTTAACCAACGAGTGACATTCGGATGCAATTATGCGTGCGTCGTTTGATACTTGCAACGAAGGATGCAGTGAAACGCCGACAGGCGACAATCCGTATGTACATTGAAAGGGAATCGCTTTGAAACAAGTCATTTAAAAACGCTATCGGGAACAATTTATTTTCATCTGTTTGACTGTTCAACCATTAACCATTAATAAATATACAATATACGAAAATTCTGACTGGATTATTTAGTTTAAAAAAGTTTATATTTTTATATAAATGATTTAATAGAGGGAAAGAAATAATATTCAATTTATTCTCGTTTTTTTTTGTTGATTCTGTTGATTTTATTGTAAAAGGTAAAGGTACATTGATCTATGTATGTATGTGTGTGATGAGTTTCGATGAAATGTTTCATTAAGTTGAAAGAATTATTTAGAATATTATTGCAGTCGTTGCAATACCGTGTTGCATTCGTATTATATTAAAAATAATAATAGTCATGTAGCCAGGCGGAGATATTATGACATTGTATATTTTCATTAACTTTATATATATGTACATCGATAAGTATTTTCTCATGTTGTTTGTAATATTTGTGTCGCAGAATGAATGTAATTATATTGCATTGGATTTCACTACGTTGTTTATATAAAATTGTGCGATTTTCAATCTTCTTGTGAACCTCCTGATGAGACATTATAGTGAAAACATCAAGAGTATTATATTTTTTTTTTTTTTTTTTTAGTAATATAATGTTGCCACAAATATTGCATTTTGTCATATCATTTTCTGGTATAAAATATTCTCATAACCAGCTACTATCTTTTTGTGACCATGCGATCTTTGCATGATATCTGCTTCATATTCTAAATCGCGTACTACTAGGTACATAATAAAAGTTGTATTAATTTTATATTGCATTTATTGTAATCAGTACATATCAACAAATTAAAAATAAATGCAAAAATTAATATCTGTTTAAATATCTTTGTTAATATTATATTTGATTTTAAATACTAATTTAATCAAGATTATAAAGTTTTGTTTGAATCATATATACAATATTATATGTATAATATATAATTATTAAATTTTAACTGGTATATTAATAAAACACTTTTAATTTTTAAAATATCCGAATATTCTGACACACGTCAAAATTGAAGAAGAAATGATTACGTGAGGCATAAACTTCAGCAAAATATGACTAATGTATCGTGACGATTGCCAACTAGATCTGACGTGAAGTCGTTTGGCACCGTAAATGCTAAAATAGATAACGTGTGGAATTTATAGTAGGTACGCTTATAATAATAGCCGCGCATACAAATAATTTTCAAAATTCTTATACATTAAAATTGAAATATACATTTCAAGATGTGCAAAAATACGAATAGTAAATTAAATTAAATTAATATTAAAAACCTGGTTCATTCGTTAAAATATAAATAACACAAATTAATGAATAACACAATTCGTCTAATTTTGCATTCATGTAATACATAGCAAATACATGCAAAAAGAAATAAAGATTTTAAAACAAGAGAGAGAAGAAAGAAAAGGTCTATACAAGGTAGAAAATATCCTAGGGAATATCCTTAAAAACAACGCTATTCAGAGCAATAAACCGAGGAAAATGTGGTCATCAACCTCTTGACGCAAGTATAACTCCTATCGAAGAAAATTACTACCCTTTCTTCTCCACAATCACCCTCGCCTATCACGGGTCGTGTATCTCGAGACATAATGCAACAAACAGACAAGGTAAACGGAATGCGGACGGTGAAATTCGTCGAGTTTACGAAGCATACACAAGGAAACGCCATACTGTATAGAGCTGTGAAGGAGATGGATAGACGGATAAAGGAGGAGTGTGCGTGTGTGTGTGTGTGTGTGTGTTAGTACGTGTATGTGTTTGTACAAAGGAAAGAAGAGAGCAAACGGGGGATAGAATGCAAGAAGAGAGAATACAAACTGGAGGCGAGGGAAAACAGTATAGCCAGTGTTTACACAGCGTTTACCGACCAGGTAATTACCCACAATACCTCGCACTCTCTCATTCTCTCTTTCCCTTTCTAGCCTTTGGTCCTCGCACAGCGCGAAACGCCTTCAACATCAATCACTTACCGGGCGCGATACGGAAACTCTGAACTACGGCCGACCGCCACGCAAATAGCCTCTGCACGACGAAAAGAAATAGCGGTCGGATGCAACAACCGGCGCATGCACTCTGGTCTGCGTGTCGTTTGTGGCTCGAGTTTTTAGCAAGGCGGAGAAACGCGAACGTACAGTGACGCTGTATTGCGTTCCAGATCATCGCTTTAGAGTGGATCTTGTAGCATTAAGCCGCTTAAAAAATAATTCCACCCTTCGTTCGCGATAAGAGAGTCCAGATAGTAGCATTGCAAAAAAATTCGCACGATTACTATAGTGATTAATTGAAGGTTTCTGCTCTCTCCCTGTGGAGTTATAATTCAGGAAAAAGTAGAAAAAATCAAGTGTAATATATTATATCTCGTGCGACGTGGTATCGCGTCAAAAATTTCAACAATAAAACCAAGTGGAGATTAATACGTTACACACGCGGCAATTCCGGCAATTCCGCCGACACGAGAGCTGTCTGCAGATGTCGCGAGATTTACCGAATACGCTGGTATTCCGGAGGATATAGGATAAAGGAATCCCCGTCAAGCTTATATGGCATACAAGGAGCTTTTCCCGCTCGCATTCCGACGCATAGCTATGTAGAAACGACAGAGCGAATTGAATTTTGAAGAAAAACAATGATGCGCGGTTCTTTTATCTATAAACATTATATTTTTCATGTATATCCCATAATCTGTGTTAGGCTATATAAGCCTCCGGTTGTATGTATAACGAGTCATTCAATCATCCCGAGCATTTTTTTTATTATAGTGCATTAAGTTCTTAACATATATAACGAGGATATAACGGCAAAGGCAATACGTTATTACGTTAAAATGCACGGCAACTTAATCTTGTTGATATACCACCAGGTGTATCGCGAGCGAAAATAAAAATATTAATACATCGTTGTAAAATTCCGTCGTACCGAGTAATAAACCTCTTTGGGTTGAAATGCGACGGTGTTTGCAAAGAGAACTTGAGCGTACTTATCTCTTGATCACCACCGGTTTCATAACACCGGCGCGTACACTAGATGCGAAGCGTTAATGAGTTTAATCGACGATTATTTTATTTTTATATTTTCTGCGAGATGACTTTAATGCCGCGTGCTCGTACAACGAAGAGAATTGTAATAATGCCGCGCGAGGAATATTGCGCGCTTGAAACGTCAAGATTAAAATCTAATCGAGTTTACTATGCGGTTACCATTGCAACGCGAATTTAATGCGGTACCTGCATACCCCTAAATCCCTATCGGGGCGCTCGTTTCGATTGACTGAAGAAATCGATACCCCCCAATCGTGAATGAGCTATTTTGAAACCATGTTACATCTATCGCCGATTGCGGTGGTCTGCTCGATATCACTGTCGCAATATTTCTGATCAATTTCTAGGTGGTGCAGTGTATTGTAAATAACAGATATTAGGAGACACAAATGATAAGTATATATGTATGTATACATACTATTATTTGAGAAGCACGCGGGGAATAAAAAAGAACATTAATTCTTTACGAACGGAGAGAGATCATATATATATCCGTGGTCATCCGTCAGTGTCATGCGTTGCAGATAAGGTAAAAAAGCTGCGCGAGGATACAATATACTATAGCATACTACGGTGTGCAGCGCGACAAGATATATATCAGTATAAATGCCAGTATATATACTATACATAGAGTTTTTAAATTAAAGTGTGTTTGTGCGATAAGTTTTAATGGAATTCCGCATCCCCCACTTCAATTGGATAATATTATGTTGCGCGATCACGTTAACGCGAAACTTGTCCTCTGATATCGATCCTTATTTAGAAATTCATTGGCGAACAAAACTCGACTTTTGGTTTAACCGACAAAGTGGACACGGTAACGGGTGGAATTACGGGCCGAACTTCTTACGGGAGAGTTGAAGAAACTTTAATGGCGGTACAAATCTCAGTGAAATGGAGCTATTTCCTGCGAAATCTTGTCGTGTCCGCCTTTATCCATCTTCCGATCCACTCACACGTATATACATACACATCGCACCGACCGGGCAATCATCCCTCTCTTTTCGCGTTTGGCGACCCCGTGTGCGCCTCGTGTGGAAAAAGAACAACTTGGATTAACGTCCGGTTTGCCTAATGGAAGAGAACCTCTCCATTACGGTGGAGACACTCGAGAACCGCTTGACCCTTCAAGCAGTCCCACTCTCGAAATTCCGCGTAATACGATGAAACGCCGGAATCCTTTCCTAATTAAATTTCCACCGCTCCGATTAACTCGATATCTCAACTCGATATCGCTGGGTGTCCGCGAAATGTAGGGCAACGTATCTTTCTTTTTTTCACGCTTTGCAGTTTCACCATTTTCTTTCTCTCTCGTTTTCTCTCTCTCTCTCTTTCTCTTTCAATTCGGGTCAGTCGACGCTATTTAATCTACGCGAATTTTTTCATCTCTTTTAATATCTTTTTGCCCATACAGAATTCGTACGGTCATATTTTTTGCACGTAATATACGTCGATATACATATATTAACAGCTAATGTATCGTAGGATGTTATGTGCGGAGTATATTTTAAATTGAGTACACACACTGTATATATGTGATATTTCACTTCAAAGAAACAATTTTTCAAATATTGTAATTACATTGATTCAATGTTTCTGCCTTAATTTTGTAATTAAGACAGAAACGTATATATGTATATTACCGAAGGAGATTTACATTTGTAAGCAAGTGCAAACATATTCAATCGCATGTGAGCAGTCTTTCCGTATATAGAGACTCATTTTTGAGAGGAGTTAGCGAAAAATGACTAATTAATGAACCGCCCGACGTGGCATGACATTCTCGTCCTTTTTCTTCGTCATTCCGAAAAAATGTAATAATAAAAATGCAGACTACATCCGCGGCATTTCCCGTTGCTAATTTCAACATACGTAACATACGTGTGCATCTCGCGCTGACAAAGTTGAATGAGACGCACAATAATTAACGGAGTCTCAGTCCATTAGAAATTTATGTTCGGGACTAAAACGGCTAACTTCTGAACCGAAATTCTCAACCAAAAATAAAACAAATACTTAGCAACAAATTTTTAAAATGCGTCGACTAACTGTTCTAATTATGCTTAATTTAAAAAATCGTATTCTTTTTACGCGAATTAACAAGCTATTTTATCTTGGAATATTAAAATTAAAACCGTTTGACCTTAATGGAATAAATTATGATTAAATTTCTAACGAGAATTTTAACAAAAATATCGTCGCGATGATAACAATAGCGCTGGGAAATTTTTGATGCTTTACTACAATAACTATATTCCACCAACGTGCAGTGAACGTCGCGTCGGAGGTTGTCCGCTTTGATGGACAAATAAAACTGCATGTTTACAACGACAGTTACAATGCAGAAACCATTTGTACAAAGACAAAGCTTAAAAATTTGCAAGCTATATAGCATAGCGTACCGTGCACAACGAATGCTTTCCGCATAGCTGCATTCGAATAAACTGTCAAAAACGCGCGAGTGCAACGACGGCCGCAGACTTCTGCATCGCGTGTTAACGCCGCGCTGCGCCGACGTCCGTATAAAGTGTAACACGACGTTATCCGATTCGGTAGCGTAATATTCAATAATGCATACAACTTCGACCGCTTAAATGGTTGCATTTCTACCACCAGTTCCGTACTATAACCCGCACGAAGAGAACGAATTGCAACTGCGACTGACATAGAGCGTAAATTTATATCAGATTAGCCGCATTCACACCAATCATAAATAAATGACAAATAGTGCATGATAAATAGACCAATTTATCACAGTTTATAATTTTAAAAAATCTGTCAGCTAATAAACTATAGGCTGTAATTATAATCTTTACTCATTATAATAATAATTCAATACGAGATTAATAGGAATTGAAAATAAACAAGAGATAATGAGATTATATACTCTTTTTGTACCACGAACGATCATGAATTAAATTGTTACATACGACAGGTAATGCATTATTACAAAATAAATTATTTATAGACGGAATTGTCACATATGTATGTATGCAATACACAATATATTCTTATTTTTTCATGGCTTTAATTTAAGCATTGCTCAAAATAATAATTAATAATGTGATAATACACGGAATTGTACACATCAAGGTTTCCATATAACTCGAGAATATTCTTAAAAAATTGGCAAATTAAGTGAATGTAATGACGCAGTCTGAAAATCTATTTAAAAATACATTTTTACTCCATTGCTTTTCACATATTCGGGAAAGCAAAGGATTTATTTTATTACTACGACACGCGATGGCATGTCACTCAATTATTTAGCTCGCATAATTGGACTGTTATCGATGCTGTCATTAATAATGAGTAAACGCGGTATGAGTAATAACTCGATGCACTGACGTTTTGCGCAGCAAGTGTGGTTCACGATCGTTCCCAAATTAATTCGCTCAGGAACATGCACGAGCCTCCATATCCGACCGAATATTCGCATGGCTTTATTTCACACCAAGCACTGTATAATGCAAATACGCGTAGAGCACAACTCGATATGAGATCGAGTTCAGCGTCATGCATATTATAATATCATCGGTGTACATCGGACAAATTCAACGAGTTCAAAACGATCCGACAAATCGCCTGGTGTTTACTTGAATAACATCGATATTCGTATTATTTGTTTAAATAAGGAAACACGATGCTATATTTTTAAATTCTCTGTTTTATATTTTTTTAATAATTATCGTTCAAAATATAGATATAAATTTTTCTCAATCAACTTAAACAAAATTTAATACGTTGTACATAAACGGATTTCAAGAAATTAAGGTTTTATTCTTTTTTCCTCTTCTTCTCTCGTTCTTTCTTTTATAGATACGCAAAATACTTTTTTTCACATCAAACACATTACTTTATGAGGAGAGTGATGGAAATATGTCGTCAGTAGTTCAATTCTACGTGAAAGAAGCATTCAAGATGAACGTGCTCGACCAAGCATAGACTCTCTCTCTCTCGCCATGCAATATTAAATCGTACTGCTGTTGCGCGTTGTTGGCGAACTTTGCCGTTTGATACGCTCTCCTATCTGCCGATACGTAGACACATGCGGCGATTGCTCGGGACAGCGCCGGGTATGCAACTCGGTGAATTGCATCTGCAGCTGACGGCACAAATTTA